AGGGCCTGGGGAGGTTTTGGTGGCTGGTCAAAGTCTTCCCTCTGCCCTGTGGGGCAAGAGCAACAATTTGGTGCAGAAGCATGCTTGGGTGCTCGCGTTGACATACAAAAGGTAAGGCCAAGCTGTATGCAATCCTGCACGCACTGCAGGCTGGGCAGTGTTCAGAGACCCAGACTCTCATCCGTATTTCAAGTACTGTGTTTGCTTGCTTTCAATCTCACTCCTCCCCCCATTAAATTTTGTCATAAACCCCAAATGTCTTTTCCTCGAGTGTGTATATTCATAGCTGCTGGCAGCCTGCTGTTTGCCCTGGGCGGCTCTTCCCTACAAGCATGCTCAGGTTTGATAACCTCCCACCACTTAATTGACTCAGGTAATGAGCTGCTGCTCTAATGCATCAGGGCTTGGGCCTTATCGCACACACCCACTGCCACATCTTCCCCTGCGGGAGCTGCACCTCTCTTGGGAGCCCATGGGGGGCCCTCTCCCCATCTATTTCTCCTTCCCCTCCTGACACGTGGCAGGGGAACAGGTTCCCCAGGTTTGGACTTCACAGGTAAGAGCCAAAAGCCCGACATACTTGACTTTCACTCCACATCGGCAGCTCACTGAGGCTGAGCACAGAGAGGGGAAGAGCCTGGGCTCCAACTTCATCTCCCCGATGCCAGACAAAATTTGCACGGGGCGGGGAAAAAAGGTGTCAATGCCTCAGTTTCCGCAGGCACTGAGGGAGAAGAGAAAGAAGGAAAATGCTTCCCCCCTTTCCAACCACCTGCTGGGCAAAGCTGAGCCTAAGTGGAAAGCAGGTTGCTAGGGTGGGGAATAGGGGGAATAGCAAATCCAGGCTGCTCTTTTTAGGAACAGACTCCATCACAGGGCTGACTCAAACACCTCAGTGTCTAAGAAAGGGCAGCCCAGCCCCTGCATGTCTTCTGCTAAGCTAGTAAATGTTAGATTAAGTGCTGGCAGATGACTCCATTTCCCTTTCCTGGTCCTAATCTCTCCAATTAAGACTTAGTGATTATTTTGGTTTCTGAACTTTATATACAACGTGAACCAAAGCAGTCTCTCATGCTTTGGGAATGAGGGCATGGTAAGATGGGGGTGTGCTTAGCACCACAAAAGCCAGCAGCAGCAGCTGAGGCTGGGGATCACTCAGTCCGTGACCAAGGAGGCCGAGTTACACATCTGCCTGGGGGATCTGGGGGCTTTTCTGTTCTCTGCTCCCCCTCGCTGCAGGGAATGACCCCCACCATCCTGTTACATATTGCAATTAAAAAAAAAACCAAAACAAAATAACACCCCACCATAAACCACATAATTATCCGTGTTTTGGGCGTGTCAGGAGGTTACCATCTTCCTTCCCCTCCCACAGTGCAGGGGACAAAGCACCTGCACCCAGTATCACCCTGGCTGGGGAGCTGCAGACCTTCCACTTTGCTGCCATACGCCTCCCACTGCTACCTCTCCAGGCAGAAAACCAGAGCTGCTGGGGACCAAAACCCCTCACGCTGGGACAGGGCTCAGGAGCAAAGCAAGTGCCAGGTACAGGCAGGGCCCGCTGCTTAATTGAAGCCTTCCTCCTGCGAGGAAGGGAGCGTGTTGGCACATGTTGCAGGAGGGATATTGCTTTGTCTGGTGGCTTTGAAGAGTGGGGGGTGGAGGGAGAAGAGAAGAGGCCAGTTAAGTGTGTTTATGTTTGAGAGGAACAAAGGAGAGCGGAGGAGAGGCCTGGGGGTGCCTGCGCCAGAGATGTGTCAGAGATCACTTGTTCCTCCTGGGCCAGAACACCAGCCCTGGACCACCAGCAGCGGAGGAAGCGGGGGGTGTGTGTGGAGTCGTGTTTAAAGCAGGAAGAGGAAAGATAGAGCAGAGCAAAGTCTCCCAAGAGACTTAGGATGGTGATAAACGTGATGTAGGTTAGGCATTGGGTTCCCAAACAGTGGGGTAAGCGATGCAGCACAAATACATCACAGCAGATAGCACCGCAAGCGTGTACCTTGCTGGGTCTTGGTTTCCCTTGGTGGCAGCTGAGTTAGGGAAGTTGGGGAGCCCTGGCGTCCACCACGCTTAACCAAGTCAAAGAGGAGAAGGCCGTCAGCTGCACCCCAGTTCTGCCACCCATTATGGCAAATGAAGCATGAGTTTCCCCCTTGGCAACACCACCTGAAGGAACTGCCTTCCTAGGGGTGCTCTCTCACAACCCAGGGGCTGAGCCCACCACCAAAAACCCAAAGTGCTTTTCTGTTCACTATTTAATGCTGTGCTAACAGTGATGGGAACAGCACCTGCATAAGCCTCTGAGCACACTGTGAGCAGTCAGTTCCTGGCAAGGGAGGAAACAGTCGCCTGTGCTCGCTGTCACTGCACAGCATCAGTCACTGCAGCAAGCCACAGGGCAAGCACAGAGAGAAGGAAGGTGCCACTGAAGCCACCACTGGAGATGATACCTTCTGCTTCCCAGAGGCAGGAGCTCTGTTCTGGGAGGTCCAATCTGTAAGTTAAAAAATCTTGTTCTCAAGCAGAGTAAGATAAACGCAGCAAGCTCATTGTTCTCACTAAAAACCCTGCATCCAAGGCCTGGTTTTATTGCACTGGCTGAAGGCAGGCTTAAAGCAAACACTCTGTGCAAGCCCCGAGGCCAGCAAACCTGCTGCAGGTCATCATACAGATGAATCAACTACCCTTAGGCAGGGAATAGACGAGTGCCTGCAGTTGGACAGAGGTGTGAGACAGCTCCAGGGGTGTGGTGTAGACCTGAATCTCCTACCTGTGGTTTCCCACCAAAGAAGTGAAGAACAAAAGACCCTAACAATCATTCACCAAAGTTCTCAGTAACCTTCCATAGAAGCAGAGATGGTTCAATAACCACAGTGGCTCTTTGGTGTCGTCAAAATGCTTCTGCAGATCCACCTGTATTTCAGGACATGGATTTTAATACTGCGTGCCTTCCCTACCTACTAATTTTTTAAATTATTTTTTAAAATGCAGATTTAAAAAAGCTAGTGGACAGCCCTGTCTGAAGAAAAAAAACCAACACAGACTTGAATTAGAAAAATATCCAGGTTTAAACAAAGATCTGAGAGACATCTTGTATTTTTACTTTTTTAAGCGGTTAGGAAACAGGCACTCTCCTCCATACAGCACAACAGAACCAAAACTAGTACTAACTTTGCAACAGGAAACCAAAATTGACAGCATTTCTTGCATTCTTGAATGCTAATACATAAACACTGCTGATTGGAAAACTAAGGCATACACATGAGAGCACCTCCATGGTACACAGGATTTCTGCTTCTTGTAAAAAACCGAAATTTGTCTCTTACAGCAGTGGTACGTAAATTTGAAAGGTGAATGGCGTTTGAGAAATGCTTCTTTATCTTTAAATACGAATGTTTCAAGGGTTTCCTTGCATTCCACATCAGAGAGTCGGGAGTATTTATAGACAAACTTGTGCATGGAACATGCACTTCTGCAGAGAATTTGAGACCAACAATTTGTCTTTCAGTCACTGGAGGCTAGTTCACATTTCTAAGTGAAATGATTTTTGTTTGAAATTCGGTAAGTGTGTCTCAGACCTCAGAGATGGCAATCTGGAACAAGGCCATTGGAGAAAGCAGGGGAAAACACAAAACCCACAAGGACTCACAGCAGTGACTACGACTGCATGTGCTGCTTCTGAACCTGCACCAAATTGAACTTAATTATTAAGTTAAACTTAAGTTCTTAAGTATTTGAACTTAAGAAACCAATAAGCACAAAGTGATCAAGACAGTAAAATGCCATTATGCCTCCTGAGATCAACATGTTTCAGCTTAGATCCTAAACTTAAAGGGATGTTTCACCAAAAGGCACTCGAGCCCATCAATCACTATCTGCTCCTGTTACACGAGTCCCTGGCAGGGCTCCACTCTTGCTTTGAGGATTTCTTTTCCTCCAGCCGCCCTCTTGTGTCTGCACGGAGGCTTACAGGCAAGCTCCATCCCACATCCATTGAGGTGGGCTCAGCAGGCCCAGAAAAAGACAAAATTGCAGCTACCCCACTCTTGTTATGACCAAGTTGAGCAAACAGCACTGCACTGCCCTTCTCTTGTATCCTGCAAGAAATTCTGCCATCTTTGCAAGATTTGTTAGCTGAAGTCCCAAAATGTGATGGGTTTCAAGCTGGCATATGTACTAAAAAGCAGACAACCGACATTTTAGCCACAGAATGAACACGACACAGACACACTGTAGTCTCCATCTTCCCATTTTATTTGTAATCCCCAAAGTGACCCAGTGGGGATGGTCAGCTTCCCCTCCAGTCTTGGTTAATGAACGTAAAAGAACTATCAGAAATGACATCATTCTGAGCCTGACTCTGCAATTGGACGCCCTTAAATTAGAGCTGCAGGATACAGTGAGCAGTATTATCCAATCCAACTTCTACATGCTTAGGACTTTGCAGAATCTTGGATTAGCACATCTGTAAGTTGTTAAGCCACAACTTTTACTGGGCAAACAAAGCCACTCAAAGCAACATACTCAGTCCTACTAGCATATCCACGAGGCTGAGGAACACCTACTTGTACTGAGCCAAGTACACCAGGTGCAGTCTTAAATGGGAGAGGGTGGGGAAAGAGGGGAGGACTGTCTCTCAGGCTTTGCTGGGCCCTCTCAACCCAAGTGGGAGACCACTCCCAACTCCAGATTTCTCACCCAATTGCCACAAAACATGCAACAATATAGGCTAGGCTATGCATAAAGGTATCTGCAAACAGAGCAACCTCTCCCTGCCCAGAAGCGTTATAACCTGCCTATCAGAGTACTTCTATATGCAGAAAGAGCTCCAGGCACTCAGGTGTGGAGACAGCAGGTCTGGTTCATACGGCATCTTTCCTGATGGAGGTGGTCTTCAGGCACAGCAATTAGTGACAACTCAGGCAAGTCTGAAGTCCTGCCTGTGGAATCAACTGGCAAATGGGGGAGGGTTGCATATAAAAACCAAGACTTCCTTATTTCTTTGCCCTTTCCTCCCAAGAAAAGAACAGCATATAACAACTAGGAAGGGGAAGGGGGCATTACTTATGGGGTATCCTCAACTGCTGTGTTTCCAGAACAAGGATGTGATATATGAGCATCCTACAGAGTCCAAGAGGTGTGGAAAGATGATGGTTCTAGTCAGTTTTCTGTAAGGTCTGGAGATGTTGGTGCATTTCTGTTGCCTTGTCAGTTCCTAGCCTTTTATAACAGCAATAGGTCTCAGTTTAATGGCTTTCTTGCTGATGCCAGCTGCGTGGCAGGTGTTAACCACATCTGTCACATTCTTGTAAGACTCCGGTGCCTGGAGGAAGAAGAGAGGAGAGAAAAAAAAAAAAGACCAAATATAAACAACCCGAAGTCACAGGAAGTTAGATATAGGTTTTTGATATCCCCTCTTCTCTTTGCAGAAACAGAATCCTATAAATTGAGGGTAGAAGGAGGTGAATATATTGATAATCTGGTCACCTTATATATCTAAGAAATCTATGAGACACATAGTGAAAGCTTATTTGTACAGCCAAATTTCAAAGAAAACACTAGTTATTTTGGTTCAGCTTTCTCTATATTCTCAGATGATCCAGTCTACCACTGTGTGAGAATGTCAAGCCTCATTACCTGGCAGGAAGTCATTAACTTCCTCCTTAAAGGTAGCCTTTAAGATCTATCTTCACTGCCCCTTAGTGACAGAATCGGGGTTGAATTCTAGAGCTTCCCCCTCTAGCATCCTGACAAGGAAGCTGCTCTTGAATAGAGAATTTAATGCAATCGACATGTTTGTACACCACCACCCATATCCCTAACAGCATAGTTTCAAATGATTAACATGCTGCTACGAGGTGAACCGAAAAGACATTCTGTCATGCAGAAGAACTGGGAGTCATAATATTCAAAGTTTTTTAGCCATTCAAAGTTCTCTTCTTCCTGAGCAAATACAGAAATTTATCTTAAAAGAGGCAGATCTCTGGTACACTGCTAATAATCTACATCACAGCTGCAGTGTAAAGTAACTTTAAAGCTGAGAGAACATTATTCATGAAAAAAATCTGTAAAATGTAACTTTTGTGATGCTCGCACAAAGACTTCTCAGGGTTGACAGTAATTATCCCTATTGCCAGATAGAAGAGGAAAAAAACATACCCCTGCCCAAACCTGTCAAACAGGTATCTCCTCTTTCACCAGGATTTTAGGGACAAGGAATACTTCACATTATTTTCCAAAAAATTGGATAACTCTATCGGGAATCACAGAAGCTGTATATTTAGAGCACTGCAAAGAATCAAGTCAGGGAGGGTCATTCAGCCAAGGAGCAAGGCACTCTTTTCCCTCTCAGATAATGAAGTATTAAACTTACTTCTTCCATGACCAGTTTGGGAGAAGCAACACGGATGGCAATGCCCATGTCAGCCAGCTTGTCCAATACATCCTGGAAGTCCAAGTTACGTCGAGATTTGGCTCGAGACAGTGCACGACCCTAGAGAACAGTTTTGTTAGTTGTATTTTTTGTGGCGGTTTAGAAAAGCAGAAGTCTTTCTTATTAAAGAAAAACATGATTACATTACAAGCAAACATAGAATGGCTGAAGGCACAGACCACAGTAAGCCAGAAAACAGGAAATTAATTTAGACTTTAGGTGATGGGTTCCTGCAAAATCCCACTTCTGGTATGATGGCTAGGGAAGTTTCATGTGTGTAACACACACATCTACAAGTGTCTTTATACCCAAACAACTTGTCAGACAGTGCTCAAGAGTTTTACTGGAAGCTACTTCTCTTCCTCGATCATCCTTGTCTCACACTGTAAGTAACAGGAGAGAAAACACCTTATTCTAAGTACTTAGTTTTATATGGACAGCCTCAGCACAGTTAATCCTTCTTGTTAGCTCAGAGATATCAGAATTTGGTAAAAGGAACTAATTCTCCACATCTTCATCCTAACCTTTGCCTTGTTTAAAGAAGCATCCCCTAAATTTTCTGCAGGAGTAGTCAAAACTACAGTAAGAGACAAAGAGGACTTTAGTCTGCAGTCATCTTGGGCTTGGATTATGGTAGCAAGGCTACTCTCTGCTTGTATGACCAACAGATGAATCACACACTTGGAAAACCCTTGAGCAACCTTGTTCTCTGGATGACAGTCCCATTCCAATCCCCTCCTGAAATGACTTTTTGACTTACAGCTCCATGGCAAGTAGTTCCGAAGGTCTCAGTCATGCCTTGCTCTGTGCCAGTAAGAACATAGCTACAGGTGCCCATAGTCCCACCGATCAAAACAGGCTGCCCAGTCAGCTGTAGACGCAAACAAGTATTAATTCACTGAGAAAAAAACTAAAAAACTCATTCTTAATAAAAGTCTGAGAGGAACCACATCTCCAGAAAAGAAGGCCAGGTTCATGTTCCCTCAGAGCATCCCTGCTTGCCTCGAGTGCCTGGTATCAAGGATTCTGGAGAACTAACTGCACTGAAAGATGTAGATGAGCAGATCAAAAGACTTGTGCCCAACACACAGAAAAGGCAAATGGCTGAAACCTGCCCTAGGTATTAAACATTTCTTTCCCTTTGTGATCTTCCAACTATTGTGCATGTGGAGCAGAAGAGGGAGCTCAACACGCAGACAAGCAGAATATTGCCATCCCACTAGGGCTCCCGTGCTGTTACTTCAGAAAACAAACTCGCAATATTTATATCTCTGTTAGGGACCCTAAAACTGTCTGATTAATCCAGAATTATCTTCTGATTTCCTTCTCCCACAGCTCAACTTACTTGATAATCAACAGCGATAAGAGGATGATGAGGAGGGAAGGCCCTGGTTGATCCCTTTCTGTGCACCAGCAGAGTCCGCTCCTTTCCATCCACCACATGTTGCTCCACTTTGGCAATGTTGTGAGACACATCATAGATAACATGCATATCAAGGTCATCTGGGGTTGTGTTGAAGACTTTGGCAAAGGCCTAAAAAGAGAGCAAATCAGGATGTGAAATACAAGAAGGTAACTGCTGCGTACATGTGAAAGATTTACAACTTTTTTAGGAAATAAAAGGAACAAATTTGTTAGAAAAAGTGTTCTTGCTGATAGATCAGTGACCTCAATGCTTGGTATAGCAGGTAAGAAACTTCAGTCAAATTCAGTCACAATGAAATTGAATGTAACAGTGCTGAGTGTGACAGATCTGGACTGTCTAGATTGTTTATCTGCCCACTGGCAGTTACAATGCTGGAATTCTATCAGATAGCAGCTAGACAAATTGTGGATCTCTGAAAAGATGCCTTCAGCAGTGTAAAAACAATCTGCTTGTATCCTCTTCTTCCAGTTCAAGGCATTTTCAATAATATTGCCTAAGTGTCTTCTGCAAGTACAATCCAGTGATGTTGAGAGGTTTTAGATGGATTGCCATGACTGCAGCTTTGTGTAAGTCTCTCCAGAAAACACAGTTTAAGAAGTACAAAAATGAAAATTACATTCAGTACTGCAGCTACTCTGTGTTCCATATGTTTAGGATAAAACAGGAGATGTGTACCAAATTATTTGCATTAGAGACAATTCTGCTCCTACCTGTCTTGTTAGAAAAGTCATAGAAGAACGGTTGACCCATGCATAGTTTCCAGCAGCTGCCATTCCCTTCAAGTAATCCTGTCCCTCTGCGGAGGCAATCCTGGCACATGCCAGCTGGCGATCATTCACTATGATTTTGTCTCGTTTCATAGCTTTTTCCATAGCCACTAATGCATCTGTGAAATAAACACGGTACGTCTAAGTGACTTCTTAATTTTGTTTCAATGTGCGAGATTAACACAGTGGTCTATAACTTATATTCTAAAACTGAACACTTGTCCAATGGTCAAACCTACAGCTTCTTTTCAAATGCAAAAGTGAATCTGTAGCAGAACATCATCAAATATTTGTAAACAGCACCCCACAGGACTATTTTTAGAAAGAACAGCTAGGAGGTTCAGGTGTACCAGAAAGACTTCTTCATTTAGACAAAAGCAGTTCAGTCTAGTGATAAATTCTAATAATTTGAGCACTTCACTTGGGTTCAAAACAAAAAATTATCAGTAAAGACATTTTTGCGACCCAAGAATTTAAACTTTTCTTTTTCTACTGCAGGAAAGCCTGCCTCTGTTATACCAGAGATTATGGACTCACTGTCCTAAGCAAATAGATATAAAGACAGAACCTCAACCAGACAGAGAATTCAGTGAAAATCTCCATCCTCTCTTGATCTTAATATAATTTAGTTTGGAAAGGATTTCTGGAAGTTGTGTAGTCCTGTCATTTGCTCAAAGTAACTCCAGCTAGATCATGTTGCTCAGGGTCTTATTCAGTCAAGTCTTGAGTATCTACAAGGATGCTGGATCCATCACCTCGTGAAGCAACCTGTTCTAGCATTTGACCACTTTAATCGTTAAAACAATAAAAAATCCTAGTATCTAATTGGAATTGCCCCTGTTCCAGCATGAGCCTGCCATCTCTCACCCAATCATCGTGTGGATGCATAATAGCAAGATCAGTAGCATGACCAAAGACAATTAGCACATTGGTTTTAAACTTAACATTGCTAACAGGCTTGAAAATAAGAATGAGATCAAGCAGACAAACGTGAAGGCAAGCCTTGTCAAGACAACTCAGAATAAACTCTGAAATTACACTGTGAGAAATGCCATTTGGTGCTGGAGTTTACTGTTGATGACAAGACCATGCTGAGGAGTTTGCTTCACTCTGGGTACCTATGCCAGTCAGCTCGTACCTGTTGCAACCTGGTGGCCCAGACCTCTGCTGCCACTGTGGATCATCACGCACACCTGCCCTTTGTGGTCGATGCCCATCTTCCTGGCAGCATATTCATTGTAAATGTCATCCACAACCTGGATCTCGGCGTAATGATTTCCGGCTCCCAGGGTCCCCAGCTGCCAACCACAACACACAGATCAGACAGTGCTACTAAACCAGCCTCTGGGAGCACAGAATATGGGAATACTAGCAAAAGAGCAAATTGCTACAGCAAGTTTTTGTTTTTAGAAAAGCTTTACCAGGAAAAAAAAATTTCTATACAAACTGAAAGGAAGTAGAACACAGTGCCATCATCACTTCATCGTTGTTCAGATTTATAACTATTTTTACTGTTGGAACAAGACTGCAATTAAATAAAAGGATTAGGATCTACAGACTGTGCTGCCACTTTTTTCCAACTTTCTTAGGCCTTGTTGAAAGATGGGAAAAGTAGCGAGTATTGAGAATTCATCTTCAATTCGTATAGGCAAGGCAAGTATATAGCCTTATACTTCGTTGTAACTCCACAAGGAAGTTACATCCCGTTAATTAGGTGCGTAAAACCTTTCAGCAGATTAAAGCAAGATATTAAATTTCCAAGCCACAATTTTTGCAAGTCCATATCAGATGATTACTTATTTGCAAGGCGAATGTGAAAACTGAAGACATAAAACCATTTAAGGTTAAAACGCTATATTCTTTTGCAGCGGCCCAATTCACAAAACTCACAAAGTAATAGAAAAGAAAGCTTTAGAAATGGCAGCGTTAGTATAGCTATCTCAAAAGTATTCCACCCAGAGCAATGAGATACTATTTATAGAAAAGAAATCCAACCCTTGAACTGCAATTTGAAGTTCTGAGCTAGTTCCATTTATTATGATATCCTTCCTTGCCCTGCTATGAACTTGCTAAGTAAACAAGGAATAAAGTTACAGAATGACTTGCCTGCCTTTTAAGAACAGAATTACATCTGGATGGGGAAATGCCACCAAACATGAATTCTAGTACCAGATGTGGCCATCACTCTCTCATCATTTAACAAGGACCTTGGGTATGCCCAGTATTTATATTGTTTCCCTCTGTTCCAGTTCTATCAAGAATTATTCAGAAACAGCCTCACCACCTCAACTTTCCTCCTGCTCACAAATGCTAGGCATAGTTTTAAGAAAAAATACAGAATTAGATAACTATCCTCTAATCTTTACATTTGAATCCTGGGAGCACTCACACTCCTCCTGAAACGTAATATTACCTGAGGCAGACCTCTCTTCTTTGCTCTTGAGGAGACCTTGTTGGGGTCAGCCTGCAGCATCCTCCCATATTCCTCACAGTGCTCCTTGTCTTCTGCCCAGGCATAGCCTTCCCGGAGAGACCAGTCCACACCCATCTCTAGTGCCTCTTCCAAATCCCTGCAATTAATAAAGACCTACATAAGTGTTATCCTTAGAAATCCTCAAAACTCCACTGGATATGGCCCTGAGCGACCTCATGTAACTCTGTCATTAGACCCACCTTCAGAGTTAGCCCTCTTTTGTGCAGGCAGTTGGATGAGATGATCTCAAGAGACCCCATCTGACCTAAATTATTCTATGATTTTATGATCAGCTCCGAACTCCCCTAATAATAAGCCCAACTTCTTAATACTTCATTAAAATCAAGCTCTACAAATATATTAACATTAGATAGGTCATTACTTTTTCCTCCTTGTTGTGTGGGGATAACCCTACTTTCTCTCTCATCCCTTTCCAAAACTACCTTGACATTCATGGAATTTTTCTGCATGGGTAAGTGAGAACCTTTCAAGAACCTTTAGTCATTTCAGCGTTTTAAAATGTGGAAGAAACAAGTGACTGCTTGTTAATGATTTTGCCAATCCTCTTGGTGAAGCACAAGTGTAGAAAGAATGGAAAGAGTTTTAGAATTACTTTTTCTTTTTTAAAGTCTAGCACTGATGAGTCCTTCACCGAAATAAACACCAAAGATGTCCCCTCTAGTGATGTGTGCACAAAGTCTTTCCCTTACTTGGCATTCATGGGGATGACACCCTTGGAGCCAACACCAACAGGAATGTGGTCAAACATAGCCTGGGCAAGCTGCTCCTTCACAGGTTGCACATCACTTTCATCCAAATTTGTACGCAGTAAGCGAACACCGCAGTTGATGTCAAATCCGACACCACCTAGAAGCATAGAAAAAGCCATGGAGTTAATACAGAAAGTGTGCTGATGGTGAGCACATGCTGAATATTCTTAAATCAGTGTCCCTGCTGACAGGGAGTATGTACTGAATGCTGTGATCTTACACATTCTTTCTGACACAATACTAGGAAAAAAGCAGAACTGCATTAAGCTTCAATTTAATAGATTTACATGAAGCCTCAGATTTCAAAACAGCCAAAAATGTAGTCTTGCAAAGGAAAACTTCAAAACTCTTAAAAAACCCCAACATTTTTCAGTCTTGAGCGTAAGCTCTACAGACATAGCTGTACAATTGCCTACAGAACTCTGTGTTTACAAAGTTGCTTCAACAAGTATACAAAGAGAAGTAAACAAAACTACAAAATAGACTGTCCAAAGAAAGTAGAGAGGGTATTCCTGTCCTCCTGCCTAAGGTCAGAAGAAAAGTGACAGATCATAGCATGACTCACTGATGTAAGATATTCTTGAAAGCAAGTCCTGGAAAGCAAGTCCTATGTGAATCCTCACTAGGATAAATAAGAAGTAGTTTTGACAAGTGATAAATAATTATAAGGAATACTAAGCTTCAGTGCTTACTGTTTTGCTTAACTCTTAGTATTTAATAAAGTACTTAACCCTCAACTTAGTATTCAATAAATATAAACACTCCAGGGCAAGGCCTAGTGTAAAATCATGCCACCTTTACTAGTGAAGGTGTTGGTATTAACTAGCGTTAATAGTTAACAGGGGGATACCAGACCAGGAGATTTTGGGTTTGAGTCAATCAGGAACACTACAACTGCCCAGAGCCAACCTGAAATACGAAAAACACGTATAAGCACAAGAGCATCTCCAGACCATTAGTAACTAAAGACTCAAGTGTTTATTAAAGACAAATACTTCAAGGTCACGTTTTTAATAAAGTGTAGAAAGAATCTCAAAAGACGTTTTCAAACACTGCTCAAAGAAAAAAAGTCAATTCTTTATCAGTCTGGCAAAACTCAAGTTCAAACTCCCTTCGAAACCAAGGGATAGCATGAGCCCAAGCCAAAAAACACAAAGGCAATTCTCTCTGTCCTGTTTAGATGTTTCCAGTGTAACCACCTGCTCTATAAAGAATACAGATTTTGAGTGCAAGAATTAAGCGCCTCTTAATTCCCTATACTTCACATATTTTTTGCTCTGGTTCTGCATATAAAGTGCTATAAAGACTTGCCATTTCAAAAAGTGTTTTTATGCCACCACAGGCATTTCTCAGGGCAGGTTAAGTCAGCCTTAAAGTAACCTTACCTGGTGACACCACTGCTTCAGGATCATTCATATCAAAGGCAGCCATGTTGCCAATGGCAAACCCATAGCCAGAATGGACATCTGGAAGGCCTATTGATCTCTGAAAGAGAATAAAGGAAACTTTAATGTTTTATGAAACTGCTGCATGTTGTGCTTTGCCTTGAGACAGTGGTTGTCACATTTACAAAGTATACCAAAAGAGAATGGACGTTCAGATGAAGATGGAGTACACATACAATTTCAGGTAAATATCTAAACTCCTACAGTTACCTGAGTAACAGACAAAGAAAGCAGAGAGCAGTTGATCTCGCTCTGAAGCGAACATCCAGTGGCTTGTCAGCTGGGTAGCCCCCTTGGCTCCATCAACCATATCTCAAGAAAACTTAAGAGGAGCTTAAACACCTAAATGTAGGAATTGTCGTCTCAAACTGAATTGTAACATAGCATTTCTTGGACTCAAGAGCCCCTGCATTCAAAACTTGCACAGGGAATAGCTTATTGTCTCTGCACAAAGCAGAGACATATGAGTGAAGATGAGTTTGTCTTTACCAAGTTCCATCTAGAGACATCTGCAGTATTTAAATACTGTAAATGTAGCAAGGGAAGAGTTCAGTGCTATGGAGGGGAATCATAAACCAGTCGGCATTTCCCCTTCTTAGCTGTATCACTGAACAGTGATCAAAGACTCCATCCTACAGGCAGGAAAATGTCATCCCTTTAGGATGATATCCATATAGGATAGGAGCTGTATCATTTTAATAATACCATTTATTGCAGCCTTTTAAAAAAAATATTAATTAAAGAAAGCAGGCATGTGCTTCTACACAACTCTGTAAGTTCAAGGTATATTTAGCCCAGCAGGTTTGGATTAGGATACCTCAATTAGGACTCCATAATCTATTTAAGTAACCATAAAAGCAAGCCTGAAACACCAAGAAAATTATTAGAAATTGGAACTCTTCAACATGTGTTAAAACTGTTATCACACATTAAAAAGAAGAGTATTTTTCAGTGGGATTGTGCGCTGCTTCTACCTCCCCTTGCCATCACCAAATCTCTTGGTTTGGAAAAAAAAAATAAAAATGTGAAGATTTGAACAGACAGATGATCAACATCTCTCCTATGAGCTACCAGCCAAAATTCCCACTTTAACAGGTTGCTACTATTCTACCTTACACACTTTTTGGTTGATCACTAAGGCATTTTAACAGCACGATGGGCTGCCTTTCATTACACCCAGAAATTCAAAACTTTTGCCAAGTCACCAAGAGAAACAGCCTAGTATTTTCCTTCTACATCATCATATCTGATGCTTCACTTCCAAAAATACACGGGGTGAGAGAAAGAAGGGTTGAATGCATGGGAAGGCTTGCTACCAACATTAGGGCAACAACAATAATACAGGCATTAATATCACCTCTCCTCACTTCTCCATGCATTCCATGTCAGCAGAGGCAACTCACAAACAACGAACAGACAATACGAGCAGTGGAGGAAAGATGGCTCAAGCAAACTGAAACAGCATAAAGCAACGCCAAAAAAGCTTCACATCAAAAGGCAGCCAATTAAGTGGATACTTCTCCTTCTGATAACTCAGTTTTACAGCCTGCCCTTGCAAGCACTTCTTACTCAGAGCAAAGTTCCTAATACAGAGACTGAGAACTTCCGTCCATACCCCTTCTCACAATGGAGCTCCCATTTGGATGGCAATAATCACTGGGAAACAGGAAGAAAAAAAGTGCAACTCTTTATAGGAGCTACTCACATGAACAATGCCAGGTAACGCAGCCACATTACCAATCTGTTTCATAGCAGGCAAAAAGCCACCCGCACCTCAAAGAAAAGAAAGATGTAAAAAATATGATAATTTACCATGGTAATCACAATGAAGCACTTTCTAAAGAGGTTGCTCAAAATGCTGGTGAATCAGGAACCAGCGCCACTAAGGATTCTAAGCCTCTAGCATTATGCACAATCTGCAGTTTCATTAAATGAGATATTACTCTAAAATCCTCCCTCTGCTGTGTTTGTACCAGTGCAGACTAACCTGTGCTAACAACAGGAGGATGTTACCACCAGCCCAGCTGCCAGATTTGGATCCAGCCTTGTACTCTAGCCCCACATGGAGCAGACAGGCCTGGGCTACAGCACTCACCAAAGTAAACTCTGAAAGTAGGCATTCAGGGAACTCTCCAGAGCAGTGAGGACAGCCGGCAAGGCTGTGCCCCCCCCATATGATTTAGGCACAGGGACATGCTGCAGCTGCAGGTGCACCCCTGTGCTGCTCACCAGGCCGCAGTGGCTGGCCAGGCATGAAAACTCAAGGCAAGAAAACCAGTTCCTGTGTGCTGCCTCTCCAGACTTGCCAGCTAGGACGTGCACTGGGCCTGCCCGTGCTACACCCTGGTCCCTTCAGAGCCCACGGACAGTGTGGTGTGAACTCAGGCGCCCAGAAGAGGGCTCCGAGGCAGCGTGTGAAGACCTCCCCAGGTTGGGTCGCAGGGCCGCTCCCGGCCGTCGGACGCACCTCCTCCGCGGCAGGCATTGCGCAGCTCCTCGAACATCAGCTTCTCCAGGGGGTCGTTCACGTAGAAAACTCCTTCCACCTGCGGGGAGAACTGTCAGGGCGACCGGTACCGGGCCGGGACGGCGGCCAGCTCTTTGCCAAGGCAGGGGCAGGCCCTGGGCCGGACCGGGCCGGGCCAGGCTAGGCTAGCCCGGCTGCTCCCCCACCCCTGCCCTCTCAGGGTGGCTGCCCCTCACCCACCAGGCACCCAAGGGCTCCTAGTTGAGGTTTGAGCCCTCTCCTTCCATCCCTTGTCCCCAACC